ACTTGTTGCACTTGTTCAATAGTAATCGCTTACGTGCTAGTTCAGCTACTCTAAATAAGTTCCAAGTAGCACGGGCTATGGTGAGCCCGTAGCTTACCTGGCACAGGAGCGGGGCTCTTCGCTTACATAGACAAGGCAGAGCAGAGGTTGAGGTGTTCTTGATCAGGTCTAACACTTAATGGTATTTACACGACTGAACTTTTTTTTTACAAGTTACAGCCCCGCTCCTGTGCCAGGTAAGTCCACTACGGGCTCACCATAGCCCGTGCTACTTGCCCCGCTCCTGTGCCAGGTAAGTCCACTACGGGCTCACCATAGCCCGTGCTACTTGCCCCGCTCCTGTGCCAGGTAAGTCCACCACGGGCTCACCATAGCCCGTGCTACTTGCCCCGCTCCTGTGCCAGGTAAGTCCACCACGGGCTCACCATAGCCCGTGCTACTTGCAACTTTTGTTCTGAGTAACTGAATCTAAAATTACAACAACGACTAAACATTAGCTCCTAAGCCCCACCTTTTCAACTGTTAGTTATTTAATGCAATGATTGTAAATCATATTTTTTTTACTCTTATTTGTTTTGAAACAGCAAAAGCGGTGAGTGATGTTACTATCATAGTTCAGTGTAAGGTGCCAGTGCCAGTCTCGGGCCTCGACTCCACTCTCAGGCTGAATAACGCTAGAGTTAGTACTCACAGTTCCTGCGACGGCGCTGGAACCAATCGTATTGGCGTATGCCTTTCCATTGGGGACTTTCAGTGCCGTGGAGAGGGGGGACCTGCTGCCTGGGTAACAGCTTCTCCACCGTCTCAACCTACCCTGGCTTTGTGTCCTGGTGAGGCCACTCCAGACCGACAACCAGAGCGACAACTCCATAGTCTCCTGAGACTGATGGCTGCCTACTACTACTAGTACTTGAGGTCTGCACTCAGCGTGTGAGTGTGAGAGTCAGGTTGTGACACCAACATGTCGACTAGAAAATATAATAAAATAATTACATATACATAACTACACTGGCGAGTTTACTCCAGCTTCACAAAACTGTAATATTGTCAGTTACAACTGTGATGTTACTAAATATATCTGAATGACCTTGGGATTGTTCACTTTACCTGGTAACAATTAATAGCAAGCTCCAGTGTTAAACTTTCAGATCTTAACATAAATATTCCTTCTGGGCTTGAGGCCATATGTCCTCAACTGTCTGCCTCAACAGTGTGTACTGACTCTTGTGGGACTCTTGTGGGACTCTTGTGCAACTCTTGTGCAACTCTTGTGGGACTCTTGTGGGACTTTCATACATGGGGCTCACCACTGGGTCTCATATTCATTTGATTGTTCCTTGCCCAGTTATCTGTGAGCAGTAACTCCAGGCTGGTTTTCTACCTTGTATGAGCTCCGTCATTTTGTCGTAGAACAAATAGGTTTAACAGGCATGTTTGGTGTGTGGGAGTGTGTGTGTGTGTGTGAGTGAAGACACAGGAGACGGTGTGGGACACGGGCGTGAGTGGTGGCTGGCAAGGGCGTGCGGGTGGACGTGGGCGCGTGAGATAGCGTAATTGATGGGCGTGGGCGTGAGAATGGTGTATATCGGGTCCAAGGACACAGCCCCGCACCTTGACCTCGCCCGCCCCATCACTCTACCTGCTGGTGTGTCTGTCTGTGTCTCAATCTCTCCTGTCCTGTTGCCCTTTCATATCTACTTTTACACTTATGAACAATTTGTTTCCACAACCTGCTCCTTTAGCTCATTCCATTTTCCCACTACTCTTACGCTATCCCAATACTCTGTCAATCCCTTTAAGTATTTTATACGTCTCTATCATCTCTCTCTCTCTCTCTCTCTCTCTCTCTCTCTCTCTCTCTCTCTCTCTCTCTCCCTCCCCTTTTTTCCAACGTCGTAATGTTCGATTCTTTCAGTTGCTCTTCATCATCCATCCCTCGGAATTCTGAGACGAGCCTCGTCGCAAACTTCTGAGCCTTTTCCAGTTTTCTTATGTGTTTCTTCAGGTGGGTACTCCATGCTGGCGCTGCATACTCTAAGACTGGTCTCACGTAGGCAGTGTAAAGGGCCCTAAATATCTCCTCACTTAGGTTCCTGAATGATGTTCTGACTTTTGTTAGTGTAGAGTACGATGATCTCGTTATCGTATTCATATTTGCCTCTAGTTAAGTTTGGTCGTTTCGTCCTCTCGCGGGTCTCTTTCTCGAGTTACAGGTAGGCAGTTCCCCTTCCTTGTGTACTGTCCCTTTGGTCTCCTATCACCTGTTCCCATTTCCATCACTTTACACTTGCTCGTGTTGTACTCCAGTAGCCATTTCTCCGACCATCTCTGCAACCTGTTCAAGTCCTCTTGGGAAGATCCTACAATCCTCATCTGTCACAACTCGTCTCATTAATGCGTCATCGTCATACATCGACATATAAGACTCGACTCAAGTATATTAGAAAAGAATTGACATTTCAACACATGACATTTACGTATACTAGAAATAGAATTGGTC